TGTGAGGTCGTGGTATCACTCCGGTCGAGCCGGCCCATTGGCGCCAAGCATGGCTCTCCCACGGATAAATTTGTATAAAATCTCTTTGTTTATTTGGGTTTGTTAGTTTTAATTTCATAGTTTTGTTAAACGCAAAGGCTAAACTTTTCCTACTTCAATGATACAATTTGTATCAAAGTTTCTTTAATAAGTGAAGTTAAGAATGAACGAGAACTTGAGCAATGACGCTGTTCAAGAGACCAACCCTTACAAGTACTCTGCCTATTTTATACTTCTTTTTAAGGCTGAATTACGAGTACAATTTATTATTACAATAGAGAAGCTTTTATTTTGTCTTTGTTCAGTAAATAATAAAGACAAATGTGACAGCCACTATAAAGAATACAGTTTACGATTGACTCGAAATAACTATTTACTTTATCCAATAATAGTTCCATAGATACTTTTACTTTCAGAGTACGCCACTTGAAAGTTTGTAAGAAAAATATATATGGAGAACAATATGGAAATTGTAGTGTTTTACCGAGTGGCTCCTTCTTTCCCCCGGCGGTAGTTCATCACAGCTGACACGGAAGAAATGAATTGATCTGTTGTTTCTCCCAGGCACTACGTAAAATATAACATTCCAGCTGTACTCTGCCACGCTTTGTTGTGGCACATTCTGGTTGAAAAAAATAGATAAAAACTGTCTTTGAAGTGTACATTGTGTCAATTTAAGCTCAATAGGGGCAGAAATTTTCAAGTTTTTAATGCGTACACAAACCCACATAACATTTTTATATATTTTAGTTTTAATATTTTACTGAAGAATTTTGTAGCACAGAGTAGGGAAAAGCTCCATGCACAGAGTGGTAAATATATTAATAATAATAAGTAAAACCTTCTTTCTAAGGAGAGGCCTATGACCAGCAGTGGACTATGAAAGGCTGTTGATGATGATGATGATGATGTTTTCTACTTTTTGACAATTTCGGTTAGAGCCAATTAGTTACAAAAATGCTACCCTGTTTAAGTAATGCTTACATTTTCAAACATATCCCAATAACCGATATTTTTCTTCTCCAATTTGTCTTCACTTCTTATATACTATTCCTGTCTATAACTGTCAATATTTGCCATCTTATCCCTAAAGTGATGATGATCCCGGTTGTTGGCAAGAGGCTTGTGCCATCCATCGTGGTGCGAACCACGGTGTAGTGCGTAATCAACTTGCACTTCCCGCGCTTAGGGCTCGTCGTCCCCGCGCTTAGGGCTCGTCCCCGCAGCCTGCTTGCAGCATCGTACCGAGTCAACGTACGGGAGCTGGTTAGATGAACGTGGTGATATGTGTGTACCCTTAAGTGTAAAATAAATGCACAAATACCTATATCTCTAAGTATTTATTTTACATACGTAGTAGTTTGATTGGATTAATGATAATAAAATTATAAATGCATTTGTTACTTGTTTCGTATACCATACTTAATGAACGGTATTCTTACATATTGATTTGTATTACTATTTGTTACCTATTTCAAGAAAACAATAAAGAACAATACAAGGTCAACCTAAATATTGTTATTTGTAGAAATAGCAAACTACGAATGTCAGGCATTTGACTACATCTCTGAAGGCTGAGTGCAAGTTTATTTCACATCGACCTGCTCTTGACGGCGAGCGGGGTTTAGCGTTGCGATTGGTGGAGATTTCAGTGCGGGCCAATCGTCACGCCGAACGCGCTTGCTATCAAGAACGAGTTGATGTGAAATAAACTCTGACTGGCCCTCTGGCGTTATTAGATACAGCCTGTACTCGTGCTTATTTGCCAAATTAGTTTTACACAGGAGATTATGACATTAGCGGTCCTTGCCCCTTCGACCCCCTCGTTTCTTCCATGACTAGGGGACAAGCATTATAAAAGGTGTTCTATATTTGATTTGAAATTAAAATAATATAATACATAAATACGTCTTGACGTTTGACTTTATTTAGGAGATTTTTTTTGCCGTGTTTAAATAGAATTTTGGGCATATGTACGCCATGGATACCTTCAAAAAAAACGCAATCAGTCCATTTTTCCTCATAAATGATGCCAGCCAACATGTTACCGTCAATGGAGAGTTAATTGCTGACTTATTCGTTCTTAAAATTGAATCATCTTGATGTTAGTTTTGGTGATGGCAAACTATTTATATGGCCAAATGCTCGACATCCTATTTAAACACAAACTTGTTTATTTTTTATTTTCTAAAAGACAACTCCCGCACTAGGAATGTATGCTGAGTCGCGGGGGACTTCACAAACATGAAACGGACACAAAGAACACCCAGACTCAGAACAACAATTTGTAGATCATACAAAGTGTCGTCCCATGTGGAGATCGAACCCACAACTCAGTGTAGTAGGCCATCTGTGCAGTCAAATATCTTAAATGTTGTTAAAAGTAAGGCTATTAATATTTATCTATGTATTTAATTTATTTTAAACCTTCCAGAAAAGAGTGTACACTACTTCTGAGCTGCAGGCGTCAATGAACGGCGGTAGTCACTTTCCACCAGGTGACCCATCTGCTCGTTTGCACACAATATCGTAAAAACATATATATGAATCTCTTTGAGGTACTCAAATATATTATGATATTTTCAAGTGCTTCAAAAGTAATCTTAAGTTTATGGTAAATTAAACCTTATTTTCTATACCTTAACAGCGATAGTCGATAGGAACAATATTGCATAATATAATCCTTATAGCTTATCTAATGCAGTACGCGCTGTAACAAAGTAATTTTTGAAAGTACTAACCTTAAGCTAAAACACTGGGAGTAAACACAAAGTGCTATTATAACTTTTAATGGCACATTTATGTTCATTCAAAACGACTATTAGATAAATACGAGGGTTCGAAGGACCATGTGAACTATATGTTCTAATTAGACTAAAACACGAGCAAAACTCAAAGGACCAGTTTGATTATATCCTTTAATTGTACTCGACTGCGGTCTTCCGTTTCCAGTAACTTTTTAATGCAATATTGGATGTTGTGCCCTCTTATGAACTTAATGTTTGAAGAAAATAAGTCATGACATAGTTAAATTGTACAATGGAGCGACAAAATTAGTTTTAAGCGGCTTACTAAAGCACTACGCTTTAGAAAACACCTTTCTTTACGATAATACCACGTTGTTGGCTTTCAGTATAATTAGTTTTTCTTTTTCCGTTTGTTACAATAAATATTTTATTTTAATGAGTTTGCTAAGGTTCTTATAATAAAGGTCAAGTAATGTTATTTGTTTTGTTTTCTTATTCATACACAATTTGCTGAGACCTGATCGGTACAAGTTTACTTTATACCTATCCATAGCTACTCTCTATTACGATATTAGGCAGTCACAAAGATTTGCTTGTTTCATGTACCTTCACAAGATTATTTTCATTAAACAGAGTTATATAACAAAGTTATAATATGCGATGGATTTGCATCTTAATAAAATAAAACATTCGATGTTTTTGTCATCTCTACAAATAAATATATTTTTAATTTCGTCACATAAATCGTTTGTATAATATACACATTCGCAGTTTTATATAATGTTTGTTTGTTTGTTTTAACTATGAATCATATCTATAGAAATACCTTCAAAACTCACCCACTCTTTGAAAAGCAACGATAGTAATCCTTAAAACTGATCTGTGAGGCCGTGGTATTATTTCGGTTAAGACGTTTCATTTCTGTCATAGTTGTTTTGGATTCATGATCTAAAGCCTTTAATAGTCCACTGTTGGACATAGGCCTCTCCTTAGAAAGGAGGTTTTGCCCTACTATACCACGCTGGCCAAACGGGTTCATATAGGCCTTGTGTCAAGTTTTCCTTCTCTTTGCAGTACTGTTGTCCTGCGTTATTTTACGCTCTTAGTCGGCTTTTAAGACACCTACTATTCTTCATCCGTCACTACCAGAGGCGTAGCTAGATAGCCAAAGGCCCTGGTGCAAAAAAAAAAAAAAACTGGGGCCCTAACTGAACTGTTTAAGATTTATGAAGGTAAAATATAAATGTTTATAAATACTTTAAAGGTACAAAACTATTAGTTTATCATCAGCTCTTTATCGTGCACTGCATGGCACAGCAAAACTACTTACTACATCTATGTGCATAAGTAGTTTGGGGGGGAGGGGTTAGGGTTATAAGGTTTGTTTCAAGTTTTCCTTCTCTTTGCAGTGCCTTTGTCCTGCGTAGTATGCTCCATCAGACGGCTCTGTGCTTGGGACGAATAGGGGTAATACACTACACGTATTATAATAGGTACACTCCATATTCTTAATCCATCACCACACGGACTTGTTTTAGATCACTATATATTAAAGAAATCTGAAGAAATCGCAGTCGCCTGGATGATAACAAAAGGCCGTTAGGTAAGGCTATTATTTAAGTGTTTTTCTTTTTCTGTTCCTGAGTGCAGTCTACAAAGCACTAAGAAAGAAGAACCCTGTATTTATACCAACGGTAGGTAATTGCCATTACGAGTATGTGTGCCTTTCTCTTGAGCTTGTTTGGTAACATAGTTGTATGTATAAAAAACCTGAAAATGTCAATAAGCCATTCTTTCATAGGTGTTTTCTTAAGTGCAGAAATGATTTTTATAACTAGATACACAAGATTTTATCATGTAGTGCATTAGAAGAAGTCATAAAATAAATGTCACATCGACAACTAAAAATATCAGGCATCGTATCACTTTAATAACTTTCACGGAACATAAACGGTATATCTGTACCAAGGATAAATCACAGCCATTCCTTCCAAGGATGTGATACGTCAACATTCAGTTTACGTCCACAATAAAACGACTATAAGTGTTTTATACACTTTATTGCTTCACGGATATTATTCTCCATAAAATCTCAAACAACCACGTTTATAACGACGAAACGAGCGGCTACCCAGGAGCGGGACGCCAGTAGACTATACGAGGCACTGAGAGACAGGAATCACAGATCGACAGAGCTTAGAAGATAGACGGACATCAATAGAGGAAGCTTGAAGGGGGTGGGCGGGGAGAGGGAGCAGGGCGTGCGAGGCGAGGGTGGAATGCTCCCAGCGCCGCCTCATTCGTCGATGATGGCCTCTCCTCGCGCACGCGAAGCTGTGGGAGCCGCCATGCAGCACATGCTGAAGTCAGTGCATGACGATTCAACACCCAGTAAGCGACAGCGTTGAGAGCTGAATGTGCATATCCTAATAGCAGCGTGAAATGACCTATTAGAAGCGGTACGTGGAATCCAAGAGCGCTGTATATCACTATGGCGGCGTGTGGACACCAACATAGAGCAAATATAGCGGCTATGCCCATGAGGACGTTGCCCAGTCGGCGTCGGGAACGTAGCGTTGATGTCTGTGGCTGAGGGCCGAGGAGACTTGGTTGAAGTTTCTTCTTAGCTCTGACGTCACCGACGTCAACAGCATCTCGACGTTCACGAGGACCCACTCCAGCGACAATGATAACGTGTGTTGGTCTTCTCATGAGCGGTACGGGGAGTGGTAGCTCACCGTGGGCCGCGCGTGCAGTAAGTGACAATGCGGTGAGTTTTACTCGTACTGCCCAGTGGCATTTTGCTACTGCCATGACTGGGAAGCAATAGGTGACAAGGGCGTGTGCTATTGCTAGAGTGGGACAGGAGACGCACGTTGTTGTGAAAATTGCTGCACCTGAGAAAACAAAATAGCAATTTAAACATTTGTTATCGTTGAACTATTAAACATACTGGCAGTGGCAAAATTTTAAGTAATTTATACATGTTTTTGATGTCTTGACATGTCATCATCATCAACAGCCTTTAGTAGTCGACTGCTGGACAGTGGCCTCTCCTTAAAATTATTTTTTTGGTCTACTATACCACTTGGGTTGGTATAGGGTTTATTTCAAGTTTAATTCTCTATGCAGTGCTACGTAGTTTGCTCCCTTAGTCGACTCTTACGACACCCACGGGATAAACATCAGTGGGGACTCTCCGTATTCTTAATAAGTCACCGTGTACAGTCAAAAAGTCAAAAAGGAGATGGTTTCAACCCCTCCTCATTTTATTTGTTTATTTAATATTGATGTCGTTAAAAAAATCTATACTGCCCTACTTCATCATAGTAATGGCTCTGTAGGGCGATATAAAAAGGGGATGTAAATGAATGAAATCGTAAAGATAAATCTACTTCCATTAATTCATGAAATTCAAATAACAGTGATAAAACTGAGTCGTAAAAATAAATATTACGAAACTGCAACAAATTGATTGGTGCCTTGGTAGTGGTCAAACAGAAAAAAAGAGCACTAATGCAGTTTTTTTTTTAATATTAGTTAAGTTTTTTATGCAACTGTCAATAATGTGATTAATAGAAAATGTTTTACTACACTACGTAAAGTTAAATATAAATTCTGTAAAACAGTTTGGAAAATGAAAAAATGAATTTTAAACTGGACCCTATGAACTTAGTTTTTTGGTTATTGTAACAATGCCGGTATGCAAAAGATACTTTGCCTTAAAAAAGCAGAAAGTTTTAGCTTTTGGCCGGCGCATTTGAGACGGGGATAAACTAATATCGACACAGCTAGTATATGGTTCTGTCTGCAGTTTAATGGTTTTAAGATGCATGTAGTATTAATAGTAAAAACCAAATAAAAATGAGTAACAGTTTGATAAATCTTTAGGAGTTACAAATGAATTGAGAAGAAAAAAGGCGATATCTTTTTTCTCTTTTTTTAGGAGAAATGTAAAAGCAATTGTTTATGTGGTAACGGATTAAGAATACGGAGTGTCACCGTCTCTATTCATCCCGTGGGCGTCGTAAGAGTCCACTAAGGGAGCGAACTTCGCGTGATAATAGACTGCAAAACGAAGTTTTAAACCCACCCTATACGAACCCGTCTGGCCAGCGTGGCATAGTAGGCCTAAACTTCATTTTCAAGGAGGGAGTTTCAGTAGTAGACTACTAAACTGCTACTCATTAAACTTCACTGCAAATATTACGAATCCTTTAAATTGTCCTTCATAAAATAAAATTAGACAAGTCAGCAATATACCTCGAATGCACTCTTAAATAACGTACCGAGCGATAACGCCATTATCCAAACTGCGACGACGGCTAAGTGCGGTCGAGCACAGAGCGAAGTGCCGCCGCGGCGAACAGCACCGCAGCGGTCAGCAGCGATCGCCACTAAAGACAGCGTGCTCGCTGCCACAGGGAATGACTGCAGGGAAGCGAATATAATTTTATCAAGAAATTAAATTAGAACACAATATAAAATAGAATCGTTGTAAGGTCAAAATCTTAATGGGAAATGAGATGGGTTATTAGTTAAAGGGCGAGTAATTTTCTTATTTGGGCATGTTTTATGGACATGTAATGTTATGCATATGTGATTATATATTTATAATCTACAATATAACATTATCTTTGCCCTTATTGTTTTTATATATATATATATATACATAACATGTATTCTATAGGTATGTCTAGAACAAGCTGTGCTTATTCAGAAGAACAATTCTTGTAACAAAATTTGTTCATTATTCAGTTCTGATCTACTCTTGATCTCAAAAATGTCATAAAGAGTATGTTCGTACTAAAGTAAAGTAACTATTACTAAGACTAGCAGAATACCGATTTGATATTGCGATCACAATACGATATAATCACATTACAGTTAACGTTGAATGTTTAATACTTGACTGCAAGAATACTTACCTTTTATAACTTTTGTGATATCGACAGTAGTAGTAGTAGTAGTAGTAGTTCAGGTTTAGACACTGTTTCGTAATATGCTAGTTTACTTACCTGTTATTAAATTTTACTAGAAATATATACTTATATGGTATTAAACAGTCGAATTAAATTAAATTATTTATCAATGCCTACCTCTATATAAAAAGTGACATGACAGGGAAGCTCATCTATTCTAGCCGCGCGTGTAGCCGCCAGCGGCGCACTCGCTGCGCAGACGAGGAAATCAGCTGCGCATACGCTCAGCATCTGGGGTGTACGAAGGCGCGATGCACCGCCCGACGCCAGCGCGGCCATTAAGCTCACATTACCTGTACATACATTAAATAGTATTTTTTTATTTCAATTTAATTATAAATAAAACATTTATGACGGGCCTGTTCTTCTAGTGGTTAGAGCCCTTAACTGCTAAGCCGGAGGTCGTGATTTCGATTCCCTTGACAAATATTGTGTGATGAACAAGGCCATTTGTACTGTATGGGTGTAATTTATCTATAATATGTGTGTTTTAAAAAAGAAATAAGTATGTTTATCAGCAATCTAGTTACTATAGGACAGGCTCTGCCTAATTTGGGATCAAACGGCCGTGTGTAAGATGTATGAGGTATATTATTATCATAATTTAATTTCGATAGCCTAAAAAAAATACTTAGACCCTCAATATAAAAAATATTAATTATTTCGAATTAAAATAAGCTGAACTCAGATGATGCGAACTAAAGTAACTGTATCCCTAACATGGTTTACTAATGTGTGGGTAGCTGAAGGTAACTTTAGTGAAGCGAACTAAAGTGAGGGTAACTGTGCCATAACGTAACCCAGGATAACTTAGGATAGCCAAAAGTTGAATAAAGTGGAATACATTCTTACCAATAATCCCAATGACGGACACTATTATATAAAGAACGACAAGTGTGGCGAGCGCGTGCGCATACGTCCCGTCCTCCACCTCCCCTCCCGTGTCGGAAGCGTCACTAACGTTACTGTTCATCACGCTGCATCCTCAATATCTGTAACAAGGAAAAACAAAATTTATGGTTACGATAATATAAGTATTTATCCATACTGTTATTGTAAATGTGAAAGTAAGTTTGTTTGTTTGTTAGAGTTTCACGCATAAACCTCTAACCCGATTTAAAAAATTCTTTCACCAATGAACTCAAACTCTTTATTTCATTTTTTTTTTATTGTTTGAAATCGTCTTTTATGTAGACTCTAAAGTCATAGATCAACACACACAAAAACAACAATATCTGTTTTGTCAAATAGTATTTTTTTAAATAATAAAGTAAATAGTAATTTTAGCAAATAAATTTAACAAAAATCAAACCCATACAAAATCTACGATATGCCTGTGCCGATCTACAACCGCCCGTTTCCATATTATCAGCGAGTAATAACATATACACATACACACAAAAAACAACATTTTTGAACTAAGGTGTAGAGTTTGTAAAGTTAGGGCTTGTAGAGTTAGGGAGTGTAGATGAGAGGTTTTTGGTTGGATTTTAAATTCTGTCCCTCTAAATTCAGATCTTTATGTCAATTTTCGTGATTTTTACTACGCTAACGTGTAAACTTCATGATGATAAGTATTTAAGGCGTGAGAGAGTGGCAAATAAGCTCACAATATCACCCCCATCAAAATGTATGTGTCAAAATGTATTCGATTGAAATTAATATCTATTTATCGCTTATCTTTTCGTGTAAATGTATTTCTTAGTTAAGTCTTGTTGGAACGAAGTTCCTTATCGCGCGTTGTGAAAGGGGGCTAGACGGAAAAAAATCTTACGAAAATTGGTCACGACACTTTTTATTTTGAATTGTCACTTGTCAGTCATTCAGCGCCATCTATCGAATAGTAAAATTAAAATTTATATTCTTAGGTTGAGCAAAAAATATTGTATTCGACATCATTTCTCAAGGAGATTTTACCAATGTATAATTTTTTTTAATTAGAAACCAACTGAAAAATATGTAGGTAATAGCCACTTTTATAGATGGCGTTGTAATTAAAATCGTGTCTAATCAGTTTTACTCGATCGTAACAACTTCGTTCCTATCGGGTGTCCCACGACACCACACGGCTTTTTATATTTACTTTTGATTTTTTATTCAAATCACTCATTTCTCTACCAGTCTACCCTAGAGTGGTCCCTAAGGCAGACTGGCAGAGAATTGTTCAGTCTACATTTGTACTTTTTTTTGTGCATAAAGCATTTCTCTTTAAATAAAAGATAACTCCCGCGGTGGCCTTTACTAACGTACATGAAACGGACACAAAGTGACGGACACCCAGACTCAGAATAACAATTTGTAGACCACATAAAGTGGAGTCCCAGGATCCAACCCACAACATTCAGCGCAGTAGGAAGCGGCGAGGTGACCGCTTAAACCACTACGCCATCCGTGCAGTTAATATATTACTATACTATATCACCTTTTGCTGCAACTTCGTCCGCGTGACGACATCAGACGTCGTAGAGGATCCAACGAATCAAGGTTATAGGTATATATATATATAACAGAAGATACAAACTAAATAAATACTCTTTAGTTTGTTTTTATTTATTACTAGTTGAGACCCGCGGTGTTACCCGCGTTTGTTGTTATAACCCCGGGCAACGCCGCGGGGCGAAGCTAGTCTAAAAAAAGTAGCTTAAGTTACTCCTTATGTCATCAGCTATCTGCCAGTGAAAGGCCCGTCGAAATCGGTCCAGCCGTTTCAGAGATTACCCGGAACAAACAGACAGACAGACAGACAAAAATTGTAAAAAATGATATTTTGGCATATGTACCGTGTTATTTTAATATTATAAACAGACACTCCAATTTTATTTATTTGTATAGATATTGTGAGTTTGAAAATGCTACTACCAAAAATAACGGGTTTTGCACCCTTAGGGAATTTAAAAAAAAAGCCTTTCTTAGTGCACATCTACGTCACCTAGGGTACAATTGTGCAAAATGTAATGCTTCTAGACTCAGCTGTTTAGCAGTGCCCTGATCGGCAAGTCAGTAAACCAGTCTGTCAGTATCTTATTTTATAGATACAGATACACACACTGACTCTTGTATCCTCAAAGAGATAGGCAGGGACGTTTTTAAATCTCCACATTTCGCCATTGATTGGCTTGTTGGTCTAATGGTTGGTGATTTATATATGTAGATTATAGCATTAAATAAATCACATCACATCAACAGTTTTTAATACTCTACTGCTGGATATATACCTCTCATTAGACAGAAGGTTTTGGCCTAGTATACCACGCTGGCCAGACGGGTTGGTATAGGGTTTGTTTCAAATTTTCCTTTCTTTTTGCGGTGCTGTTGTCCTGCGTAGTTTGTTCCCTTAGTCGGTTCTTACGACACCCACGGGATGAATAGTGGTTGTGACATTTCCTATTCTGAATCCGTCACCAACCGGATAGCAATTAACTAAATACATAAAATAAATAATTTATTTATAACAATTTTTTGCTGTCCATGGACACCTGCCACCTAAAAGTCACAAGAGCGTTTACAGCTTTTGAGTCCCTTCCCCTGTAATCAGGGGAGGGGTGGTTTGGGCTCCGTTAACCTCACTAACTCCATGGAAAGCAACGACAGAAGTGCTGAAGCCCGGTTTTCTGGGAGGTCAAGTTAACTCTCCGGTCGAGCTTGCCTATTTGTAGCAGGGTTCTCCAACGGTAGAGTAATAAATAAACTTACATTGACAGGCCTGTTGGTCCAGTGATTAGTGACCCTGACTGCTCAGCTGAGGTCGTGGGTTCGATCCTACCCAAGACAAATAATTATGTGATGAGCACGATCATTTGTTCTGGGTGTAATTTATAAATCATAGGTATGTATATAGAAATAAAAGCACGGCCACCTTGTGGTGTCACTTACAATTACTGATTTATATATAAGATCGGCTATGTTAATCACACACGAGCACAGCAACGACAATTCGAACGGAGTTGAAGTCGGTCGCCGTGACAGAAATCGCTCGATCATGGTAGTAGCAGTATTTAAAAATATATAAGTATGTTTATGTTTATCAGTAGTCTTGTTAACATAGCACAGGCTCTGCCTAGTTTGGGACCAGACTGACGTGTGTGAGATGTGTGAAATTATTATTATTGTTATCAGTGAATTATTTACTAGGCATCACTATGAACAGTCCCTCTCAATAAAATGCGGAGACAACAATTCATTTACGACACAACGATTGGCCGATATTAAATGTCAGTTTCTTTGTCAGTTTCAGACAGGTTTGGTTCATTGCTATATTTCTATTGTCGTGATCGTACGATCGTACGCCGCCGTCTCGATAAAGATTTTTTTATCCTGGTTTAGTTATGAAATGAGAAGGAGATAAGAGAATCGATGGAATGACATTTGAGAAATAGTAATTAATAATAATAATGAACACCAGTTTTTATATTTTTAAATATATTTCTTTTTTGTATAATGCATAAAGATATTTGAAAATGTAATTAAAATATATATTCAATGCAATAAAGAGAATAATAATAATATTTTTGGACATCTAACACACAACGCCATCTAGTTTCAAACGAAGTAGAGCTTGTACTATGAAAGCTAGATTGACTGATAGAGTATATTATACTTTTTTGTAAATACATACATATTATACACAGAAAACACCGAAACTCCAAAATAATTATTGCAGAATCGAACCCGAGACCTTTCACGCTTAGACACTAGACCGTATACGCTTCCACTGCACCACCGAGGCATTCAATAATTGATTGAGATCTCTTTAAGCACTTAAAGTACTTCAACATATATTAATATTTAAAATAGCATATTAATGACCTGGCTAGACATTGGTCTGACTCCCACTAACGATATATGTATATAGTCTAAGAGCCCAATACACCCAACCTTTACCAATCTGTTAACCAGATGAAACATATTTTTTATAAAGTTATATTACTAGACAAATACGCCTATAATAGTTTGACTATCAGAACCCTGATCAGGCCATTTTTAAATCAATTAATTAATATATTTTTTAACCGTTCTGTTAACCAGGTGAATTTTATTCTAACCGACAGTAAATAATATAAAGAATTTGCCATGGTACACTTGCTTACTGATTTCTTGACCACCCTACCTGATAAGTGGGTATAAACAGGTAAATTAATTATAGATAACTACACGGATGTGTTAACCGCTTTTTTTGACTTTACAAACATACATGGAACAGACACGAAGAACCACAATTTGTGGATCACACAAAATGTCGTCCCATGTGGGGATCGAACCCACAACAGAGCGTAGCATGCCGTGGCAACAACTTAAACCACTATGCCATCCCTGCAGTCGACTGGGATCAGATAGCCGTGTGTGATGTGTTTATATTTGAATAATGAATACTACTATGTAACTTTGAAATGTGAATTTTAAATTTATTTTTACAATGTTTTCAAGTATTATGACAGTTCCTGTAAGACTTGCAGTCTGTGCTGCTAAATGAAAACGTCTTCAAAGATCAGAAGTATCTAAAAGCTTTCTTAATAACATCTAGCATTGTGGAACTTTGAGCAGAATGCTTCAAAATTTATAAAGTTGGACATGCATTGGTTTGCAATTTGATATTGGCGATTCCAAGTAGAGTGTAACTGTTGTGGATGGGTATAGAAACGTGGTGTAATAATGCTTTTAATTTGTTTATACAGCGTGTTTGGAGATTGTTAATCATTTAAGGTAGTACTATTTCAGACACTAGGCAGAATTAACTTTCTCATAGTTGAAGAAATTATATGTTATTGTATGCGTGTATATGTACGTATGTGTGAACATCCTGTTTTCTCTGCATTATTCGTAGGTACACACTAATCGAATAAAGAAAATATTTTGTTTTATTATATTAGTTTTATTACCGACAACCGTTATGGAAAACGAGTTCTTGAGTGGAGACCGCGTCTCGGCTAACGTAGTGTAGGACGCCCACAGACCAGGTGGAGTGACGATTTGCGC